CAACATAACATTCAATGTTTTTGTGAAGCATATCATCAAAAATCCTTTGCATAGCCCGTTGGTATGTAGCTCCAGCGTTTTTCAAACCAAATGGCATCACCTTGTAACAGTATATCCCTTTTGGCGTACGAAATGCAGTCAATTCTTCATCTCTTGGCGACATTCGTATTTGGTTGTACCCAGACGACCCATCCATGAAAGACAACGCTTCGTGGCCTGTAGTGGCATCAATCATGAGTTCAGTAATGGGCAATGGAAAATCGTCTTTTGGGCATGCTTCATTTAGATCTCGAAAGTCAACGCAAACTCTAACTTGGCCATTCTTCTTTCTCACAGGAACGATGCTTGAAATCCATGTGGGATACTTGACTTCTCGAATGAACCCGACCTCGATGAGCTTGTTCACTTCAACTTCAATCAATGGAACCAAATCGGGCCGAAAACGCCGTTGAGCTTGCTTAACAGGCCGTGCCCCCTTTCTCACGGACAAATTGTGCACCGCCACTTTTGGATCTAACCCAGGCATTTCTTTATACGACCAAGCAAAGACATCTTTATATTCACGAAGCAGCTCAATATAAGTCTCTTCCTCATCGCTAGTCAAATGTGCGCTGATAAAAGTTGGTCGAGAATCATCCACGTCTCCTAAGTTGATCTCTTTCAACTCATCAACCGTAGCCTTAACTCCTTCTTCAAGCTCAGCAGGGGCATCCTCTGCGTCTTCTTCATTTTCTTGGGCATCTTCACATATGGTGATATGGTTTACATATGCAACATCTTCGGCAGGGTCGTCAAGACTCTTGAAATCAACACATGTTCTAACTCGTCCGTCTCTTCTAACGACACGAGCCAAACGCAAATTGTCTTCGTTAATACACCCTTTTCTTACCAATGCGGCGATTCTTCGATGCAAGATGCCTTCAGCACTTCGAGGATTTTCTCTTGGGACAAGACTACTCACTTGATTAGATGAGGCGACGCTTTCTCCATCACTTTCTTCTTCATCTCTTACTCTCGTGTGCACGATCGTTCGCGTTTTCTCCTTCAAGACATTACCACTTGAAACAATCAATGTGGTTTGTCTCTTCATTCGTGACGGAATCGAGCTTCGAATCTTGGGGAACTTTCTTTCTATGTTCCCGTTTCTAACCATCATTTGAATACCAAGTCTTTGATGACTAGTTCTTTTGGACTTTAACTCTTGAATGGGTCCAAGCCTTTCAAATACCGATCTTCTTCCTCCATGCTTCAAATGATCAGTGGATGAAAATCCTTCTTCGGACACATGATTCGAATTGACTCGTTTTATAGCTATCCGAACTGGATTTGGTGCTACAAATCCAAGACCAACTCTAGTTTTCGAAACTCCAGCATCCTTGTTTTGAGTTTTTGCTGCTTGGGGAAGAAGTGTTCCCAAAGTACTCACTTCTTTTGGATCATATCCAGATTTGACAAGAAGTTTATAAGCTTTGGGGTCATAATGCTTAGAATTTTGGAGCTTCTCTCCGTGTTCCGTCTTGGATCCTTCAACCGGACGAACAAACTTTCCCGGGGGTTGCGTGGTTGGTTTCTTGGTGTCGAGGTTAGGTAACGGCAACACTAATCCATCCAGAGGGTCCTTCCTAGCGAGATTCTTGGCTTTCTTCTCTTTGGCATCATTTTGTTGTGTAATGAGAACTTCTTTGCCAACAGTCTTAACGTCTTCAAAATAGTACTTAGCATCGGCGAAATAAGACTCAGTTTCAGTAAAAGGCTTATCGTCTCCAAGCACTTTTCTCACTACACCATCCTGGCAGTATTTGAAACATTGATGCCAAGTAGAAGGCACCACTCCATACTCATGCAACCAAGGACGCCCCAACAGCATATTATAAGAGGTTTTGGCATCTATCACATGGAAAAGAGCATTTGAAGTCATCTCCCCGATCACTAACTTCAATCTAATTATACCTAGAGCTCGTTGCCCCCCTTGGTTAAAGCCTTGAATCATCAAACGGCTATTTGAGAGCTCATCTATCGGGACCTCCAGCTCTTTTAGAGTGCGCAGAGATAAAATGTTCACAGCAGAACCTCCATCTATCAATATGCGATTCACCTTTTTCTCACGGGTGTAACCAGTTACGAATAAAGGCCTATTATGTGGTTTTGAGCCCAACATCAAGTCTTCATCCGTGAAGGTGACTGCCGCATCATTGTCTTCATGATCACATCGTTCTTTGTCATCAGTTGACTCATCATCACTTGGGACATCATCTTGCTCACTTGTCACATAACATGAGAAACTTTCATATCCTTCATCGCAGTTCACTATTGAAGCAAAGTTCGCAGTGCCTTTGTCTTCTTCAAGCGATATCTTGCCTTGTCGTGCCAACTGCATAACTCTATCTTTGAAGACGAAACAATCTTCGATGGGATGACTCACCAAACGATGATACTTGCAGTATTTTGGGTTGTCAACTTGTCCCGCTTCTTCAGGTCGTTTCATCTCCGGCAGTTCGATAAGTTGTTCCCGAATCAAGTCGTCAAAAATTCCAGAAACATCAGAGTCAAGGAAAGGATATTGTTTGGCTTGCATCTCCTTCAAGGTTAACTTTCTTTGCCCCCTGTCTTGTGGTACTTCTTTCTTTTCCACAACTTTCTCACTTGTGTTTCCCTTGAGTTTGATGGGTCTTGCGTTGACCGCCATTGCTTCCTTCACCTCTTTGTTAGGTGCTTTAGAGGAAAACTTGCCCCCTTTCTTGGCTTCATTTCGGTCCTTGAATCTTTGAGGCTCATGGACAGGTGGATTCTTGACTCCGCTTGCAGACATGCTTAACTCCATATCATGTGCGCGAGTGGCCAACTCTTCAAAAGACTTAGGTTGAATTCCTTGCAAAATGTATCGGAGACCCCAATGCATCCCTTGAGTGCACATTTCAATAGCCGAAGCTTCAGACAATCGATCCTTGCAATTGAGGCTTAGATTTCTCCAACGGTTGATGTAGTCAATAACAGGCTCTTCATCCCACTGCTTTGTAGAAGTGAGCTCAATCATGCTGACCGTCCTTCGTGTGCTATAGAAGCGATTGAGAAACTCTTGCTCTAGTTGCTCCCAGCTATCAATAAAATTTGCCTCCAAGTCGGTGTACCACTCGAATGCATTTCCCTTCAATGATCGCACAAACTGCTTCACCAGACGATCTCCATATGTTCCAGCATCATTGCAAGTCTCAATGAAGTGAGCTATGTGCTGCTTCGGGCTTCCTTTACCATCGAACTGTTGGAATTTCGGCGGTTGATATCCAGTAGGCATCTTCAAGCTATCAATCCTTTGAGTGTATGGCTTCGAATAAGTTAAAGACGACTTGGAGCCTACATCGAATTTGTCCTTGATGGTTCCCATGATGAACTCTTTGAGTTGGTCAGTTGGTATGACTCCACTTGCAGAAACATGGATTTCTGACGTAGTCTTCTCTTTTTCAGTTTGCTTCACCTCATCTTCTTTAGAAGTTTCTTCATCTTCATGTGTTTCATCTTGCTTGCCCCCAGCACGGCTAGTCTCAGCTTTGTCGACCTTTTCTACCAACTTTAAGATCATGGAGTCTTGATCTTGGACATGCTTCATCAATGCCTCCATTGTTTTTGCCATGGTTGCAAGTTGCTCTTCAATGGTTGATGCGTTCGTCATCATAACAAGTGCCTCCATTGAGAAAGGTGTTGATGAAACATCGTCTCTTAAATCTTCTTCTTGGTTCAAAGGTGACATGATTTCCTCAACTTGGCGAGAATTTTCTTCCAGAGATACACTCTTGTTTTTTGCCATGCTTCTTGTTGTGACACCAACACTTCCGCTTGCAGAACTTGAAGAAGTTGACTTGGGAGGAGCCATTGTTGCACTTGGATATCTTGAAGAAAAGAGATGAGAGGTAGAGATGTCCCACTGGGCGTGCCAGAAATTTGTAACGCAAAATTTGTTTTATTGAATTAATAAACACGAGAACTTCGTACAAATGGATTTCAACGGATCAAATGAAATATAGTGGATTCTAAATCTCTATTATTCCTCTGATTAATTTCTTCAAGAACGATCTTCAAGTGGATTTGAGAATTTTGGAGACGAATCTTCAGTTTGATCTCCGCCGGTCTTGAATATGAGTTTAAATAACGTTTCTTCGAGGGCTTGACAGCTTGATCTCGAATCGAACGTCTTGATTTCCCAAGAACATGAAGAACACGAGTCCTTGGTTTTCGTCGCAAAGTTGATCTTCGATCTTCTCTACGCCGGATTTGATTTTAATAACGTAATTCGGAGGCTTGGCAGCTTGTTTCCGGATTGAACGTTGGTCTTGAGCTTGAATGCGCTTGAATCTTCCTTCGAATCTTCAAGAACGCCTTTGGATCTTCAAGAACACTTGAATCTCGTGGAGAGAATTCTCTAGAGTTCTTGAACTTGGAACTTGAAATATGAATATGAATTGTGTTCTTTTCACCTTAGGGAGGGTCCCTATTTATAGGTGTTAGGAGAGAGAGTCTTGGAAAAGAAGACTTCATTTTGATTGGTCCATAATTTCCAATATTTATTTATTAAAGAGATAATTAGAAGATGAACTCTTGGAAAAGAAGACTTCAATTTGATTGGTCCATAATTTCCACTTATTTATCTCTTTAATAATTATTTAAAGAAATAATTATTTATTTTACTCTCCAAGAAAATGACATGTGGCATTCTTTAATTGGCCTTCAAAATATACATGTGGCATTCTTTAATTGGCCAACAATATATATTAAATAATCAATTAATTAACTATTTAATTTTAAAATAGAAAATTATTAAATTGATTTTAACATGGAATTTGACACTTGTCGCCATTTCATTGGCTCAAAATTTAATTGTCTACAACCACTTTTGAGATACAAAGATCAGAGGTATAATTAAATAAACTAATCTGCCTTTGCTTCTAAAGATTAACTTTGAGGTTGAGTAACTGATTTATATTTGGTTCTGCACATTTTTATTGCAGATATCCTCTTTTATTGAGAGGGAGCATGAATTCCGGTTTTTAGCTGTGAGTTGCATCATTACTTTTACCTGTTTGAAATTATATTTGTTACTTTGGAAAAGTCACATGCTTTTCTAAGATATTACTTGACATGTTATGTGAATGTGTTTTGCATTAGGTGACTCCAGAAACATTTTATGGGCTGTTTTACACTACTCCATCGGTAAACGAGAGTGATTACTGCTGATATGTGTGACATTCGTCTATTTTATTAATTGTTTTCTAACAAATTCCCAATCTTGGACACTCGTGCAGGTACTATGTGCATGTTATAGTGATGAGGAATACTTCATGAACAGATGTGAAGGTGATATTCTAATTTCTTCATTCTAGAGAAGAAACGATTATGAAGTTAAGGATGTTAAAATAGGATCGTCTTGCAATCGTGGGTTGGCTGGGCTTTTTATTGCCCATCCCGTTTATTCAAAATGCATGCACAAGAGCATTATATCCTTTGCACATTCAGTGGCAGGCAATAAAGAGATATTATATCAACGGTACAGTATGGCATTGTCAAGATTTGGTTGGATGATATCTTACCCTGTCGCGTTTATCTTCGCCATTGGTGGGTGCTTTACGCATACTTATACCTTTTTTTTTTTTTTGGCTAGNCTAAATTACCAAAGAATGTTGCTCCCTCTGTCTCAGGATTTATAGGGTTTTTTTTTTTGGGTATTTACTCTATTTAACACATTTGGTGGTATAGTAAATGAAATTCTCTGTATGGGCTTATAGCAAGGGTAATAACTAACATGGGATAAAAATAAGAACTCCAACATTGTTCAAATGTTCACTGATCTGTGTATTTATTAAATATATAATCTTCTCTGCAGCGTGTTGGCAGCAAAAAATTCTAAGTGAAGCAGCGTACGAAAACTTCCTATATCATACATTTCTTGGCGACCGTAAAACAACCATTCGCGAGTACTTAGCAACTTCAGGCTCGAGCATAATGGAGGAAGAGCCTCCCGAGCAGCTAAAACATCGTTATGGTGGTTAATCTGAGCTGCGATTTTGTGAACCTTAGTTACCCTTGTCTAGACGAAGGTTTAAGGAACTTGGAAGGTTTTTTGGTATAATTTTATTGACTTATTGATATGAGGTCCTAAGTCAGTACACTACACATTGTTGTAGTGGTTTTCAGTATTTAGCTGGAAAAAATAAATATAGAAAATAGTTTGTGATTTTCTGATGCTTGTTTATGTGTTTGCTTGTGTTTCATCTGGGCAGTGAAATTAGAAGATTGTCATTTTGAAATAATATTTCTTTCAATATATTGCTTCCCATTCATATAGACTACTAGTTATGATATTTATGTTTAATTTAGAAAGTATTTTTTTTTAATTTGAAATCTATAAATACTTCTCTATTAAATACATTATTTCTTTTATTTAAACAAAGTGATAAAGTGGTATCAGAAATTAACACTCGTGTTTTCTCAATCTATTATGATATTCTAAAGGAATACATCAAATGTGATCTATACGAGNAACGATAGATAATATTGCACTCAAAAGACAAAGACAAAGTCCAATTACGGTGATCCACTGATCACAAACCAAGGCTAAACATCCCAAGTATCTCTAGCCCAATCAGACAAGCCATTCATGGCTACATCTCAATACAGTGGCATCCAAGGCCAAACTAGCACAATCATTAACATACAGTGAGTTATCAAAATCAAAATTACATACTGGAATAAGGTCTGCCAACATATAGATGTCTTCAGCTATCTCTTTTTGTTTCCCATGGAAAGTTTCAGCTGCCTTCAACCTCAATGAGATAGCTTCATCATCTACCATGACCATCAAATCTTTCCACTCCAGCACAAAAGCTTTCCACATGACTGTTTGAACTCCCTGTAGCAGGGCTTCAATAGGGTCAAAGCAGGTTGGAAGAAAAAGTTGCCATTTGCGGGATACACCTTCTTGTCCCCTTGCCCGAGCCATAATTCCTATTCCACTGCCCATACCTGGAAGAACACAAGCACTGACAAAGAGTTCCCTTTGCCCTACTGTATTAATCCCAGCAATAATCCTGTCCCTATTGTCCTCCCTTCCCAACTGATTCAGCCTAAACTCCTCCCACTCCTCTGAAGCTTTCCTAAGAAGTTTCCTCTTAGTTATTTCCTTTTTTTCAAAAATCCATAGATTTCTGGTTTTCCACAGCCAACTCAATATATAAACAGTAAGTTCCATTCTCACTACAAGAAATTGTCAAAATGCCAACAAAAATTACCAACAAAAATTTTTCCGTTGGGGATTACAAACGGATCACCAACGGATTAGTAATGCATTATATATATAATTTTTTTATAAACGGATTACCAATAGAATACTAATAAAATATAGCAACGAAAATTATATCTTTGTATTCCGTTGGCAACTAGTGACGGAAATATTCCGTTAGTAAATACAAACAAAATACCAATAGAATAGCAGCAAACTCTTTCAAAATTGTATTAGTAACGGATTATTTCGTTGGTAAATAGCAACGGATTTTTTCCGTTGGTAAATAGCAACGGAATAGCAACGGGCACCTTCAATATTGTATTAGCAACGGATTATTCCGTTGATAAATAGCAATGGATTTTTTCCGTTGGCAAATAGCAACGGAATAGCAACAATTTCTTTCAAAATTATAATAGCAACGGACTATTTGGTTGGTAAATAGCGACGGATTTTTTTCGTTGGCAAATAGCAACGGAATAACAACGAACACCTTCAATATTGTATTAGCAACGGATTATTCCGTTGGTAAATAGCAATGGATTTTTTCCGTTGGCAAATAGCAACGGAATAACTACAAACTCTTTCAAAATTGTAATAGTAACGGACTATTCCGTTGGTAAATAGCAACATAATTTTTTCGTTGTCAAATAGCAACGGAATAGCAACAGACACATTCAATATTGTATTAGCAACGGATTATTCCGTTGGTAAATAACAACAGAATAGCAACAAACTCTTTCAAAATCGTATAATGTCATTATTATTATTATTTATAACACTTACAAAAGTAAAATTCTTTATATATATATATATAATGATAAATATTTAATTTACATTAACATTATTTAGTTATGTAATTAATTTCATAATATTTAAATCAATTCAAAATAAATATGTGCTACATATGCATTCCATTCATTTTTAGAATTTGTTATATATCATAATAATTAGAAAAAAATCACATATATATATATATATATATATGATTTTGTGACATTGTTAAATATGTTAAGCCTAAAAGTAAAATTAGTAATTAGGTCGTATTATCGTTGAATTTTGTGATATTGTTTTTTAATTAGAGTATTGAATATTATGATAGATGATAGATGATATTAAAAAAACATATATACATATATATGATTTTATAATTGTACTTATTATTTATAAAGATATTTAGATATATGATAAAATTTTACCAAAATATTTATTTTAATTTGTGAATAAAAAATTTTATGATGACACATATTTTAAAAGGAATATAATATAATTTGTTATCAATTAGTGCATTGTACGAGTTGTGTATTAATTTAAATAGACACATTTACGTAATTTTGCACAGTTTAAATTACATATAATATTTTTAATAAATTAATATAGGTAAATTATATTACATATTTATTCCATATTTTTATTTTGTAAACATTATTTAATGAGGTAATAAATTTTAATGAGAAGGTGGCCGACAAAAAATCTAAAAATATATATATATATTTGTGTTTGTGTGTGTATACATACATATATAAATGAAAATTTATTGTGTAGTCCAAATTTGAGTTTCAAATTTAAAAGTTAAATAAGTAATTATTCATAACTTATGAGTCAATACTAACTTTGACGTAAATGAAATAGTTAATTAATTTAATAAATTACTCAACTACTTAAAATTTTTTATTTGGATATTTTATAGAAAAATAAATTCATTTTAATTAACTAAACAATATAAGTTTTATAATTATACTTATTATTTTAATAGATATTTAAATATTTGATAAAATTTTACCAAAATATTTCTTTAATGGAATCACATTGTAATTGAATTTATAATTTTTTTTTTTAAAATGTCACTTATTTTGAAATAAATATTATATAATTTATTATCAGTTAGTCCACCGTACGGGTTGTGTACTAATTTAAATAGACATATTTTATGTAATTTTTCACAATTTAAATTTCATATAACATTTTAGCAAATTAATATAGGTAAATTGTATTACACATTGATTCCATATTTTTAATTTATAAATATTTAATGTGTATTTTTAATTTATAAAATCTAATACATATTTCTTACCCGTACGTCGCATGGGATTCGTACTAGTTCATTTAATAATGTCATAAATTTATAAATACTAATATATACAGTCACTATTTTTATAATTAGACATTAAAAAGAACACCTAATATAATTGAACGGTTAGATCATAAATAATATAGAAATATTTATGAATTGAATTATAAAATATAATTTATATATATTTACTAATTATTTTCTCCTATATATATATATATGTATATATATATATAGATATATATATATGTATATATATATATAGCCGAGTGGTGGTGTTATATATATATAATAATTGTAAAATCCAGTCTCATACATTCATATAGCCTAGTGGTGGTGTTACCTTTTTAACATGCAAGAGGTCTTCAGTTCAAGCCCTATTGTTAGCAGAATTGTGAGAATTACTAAGGATTATAGCCCTATTGTTAGCAGAATTGTGAGAATTACTAAGGATTATATTGGTGGATGGCCATGGGTCATGGTGAGCCGTGTGGTTCAAGGTGGTGGCCATGGGCCAAGGTGAGCCAAGTTGGATCAATAATATTATTATTATTTTTTTTTGTTGAAAAATCCGTTGGTAATCTGTTGGGAAAAGTCCGTTGGCAATCCGTTGGGAAAAAATATGCGTTGCTAATCTGTTGGGAAAATTTCGTTGGTAATCCGTTGGGAAAAAATATTAGTTGGCAATCCGTTGGGAAAATTTTATTAGTAATCCGTTGGGAAAATTCCGATGGTAATCCGTTGGAAAAATATCTGTTGGTAATCCGTTGGGAAAATTACGTTGGAAATTCGTTGAGAAAAATCTGTTGGTAATCCGTTAGTATATCCGTAACTAATATGTTGGCTTTCTGTTAGTAATTTGCAATGGAATGATTTAGCAACTACATTTTCCGTTGGATTTTCCGTTGGGAATCCATTGACAATCTCATGAAGCATTTCCGTTGCAAATTTGTTGGTAATCCTTTGGAAATTTTACCAACAGATTGTATTTTCTGTTGGCAAAATTTAGTAACAAGCCATATAGCAACAAGAAAATCTGTTGGTAAGCCGTTGACATTCCGTTGGGAAATTTCATTACCAACGGATTATTCCGTTGGTAAAACTCATATTTCTTGTCCCACTGAAATGATCAGGTTTAATTGTTTTCTTATCCCACTGGACAGGAGCTAAACTCCACATTTTCATAGCTCTTGGACATTAAAAAAAAAAATGCATTACAGTTTCTACTTCCTCCCCACAAAGTTGACAGATAGGATTTGGGATTATTTTCCTGTGACACAAGTTAGCAGCAACTGGCAGAGCATTATGAATACATCTCCATAGAAACATTCTGAGTTTTGGTTTTACCTTTACAGCCCATGTACACTTCCACATTTTTCTCAACACCTCCCCTCCATTACTTGATGCAGGTATATCCCTCTCAAGTTGTTTAACCTCAGTATCTCCTTATAACAAGACTTGACAGAGAATTTTCCTGTTGGATTCAAGCACCAAATAAATTTGTCTTTAGATTCTGAATCCAAGAGAGGGATTTTTAGAATTTCATCACCCTCAGTAGGAGTAAAAATCTGCAGAATTAGATTTCTGTTCCACTCTCTTCTGTCAGCCTTAATCAAATCACTTACCCACTCCACCCTCCTATCCCTTCCCTTAAGACCTGTAGGTTTGAACCCTTTAATGTTGGGGATCCAAGGAGCCTCCCAAATCCTAATATTCTTTCCATCCCCTACTTTCATCCTTAATCCCAAAGTCAGTGCTTTTTTTGCCTTTAACCAACTTTTCCAAACCCACTAGTCATTGTTCCTAACTTGGGTATTACAAATTCCTCCTTTTGAGAAATATTTAGCT